GTAACACGAAATAAACGTTAGATAATAAAGGGATGACTGATGGATCTAACATTACATCTCTTCTTACACGACACGTCTGTAGATAGCCTGTCATCAATACCGTATAATGTTTAGATACGCATCTAAATATTATACGACTCCACGCCGTCATACCGTGCCGTTTTCGTCTACAAAAACAAAGGTACAGGACAACCGTAAACCTCGTTCGAACCATTTGCGAACGGTGAACAAAATAACAGAAATGCTTTTAGCCAATACTCAACATCGAAATAAAGTCGGCACACACTGACAGCGGTTAAACTCCGCAAGCACCAAGCGAGCGAATTATCGATACAATAAAAAAAACACGGGCGTACACAGATGATACTATAATAGTAACGATTAATACTTTCATGCACTTTTATGGCCACCAGTATTCCCATTTTACCGATACACGCCCGCCGTACCGTCAGCAGAGAAAATTCTTCCAGGCTCCGGCCGTTCCAATGTCACTAAACATTTTATTTCCTCTTAAAACATAATAACACTTTTGGTTTCTTCACATAAAGCTATAACAACAGTTAACGGTTACTCCATAACTTTCTGAATATTTAAATACAAATTTCATATCTTTATACACAATATTACATCGGTTCACAATAATTATACTTACTAACGAAATATGCATCTCATAACAATTCATCGTCAATATAAATTCATGGTACATTTGCCGTTATAAAAGGAATATCTGTTTACATTTACTTTTTTGCGTAGCATCTTTATCACATAATACGTTTCTATATCTCTATTCCCTAACATTTGTTACACCTCTATCTATTACGTCACGCTTAAAGTTAAATTATGCGAATCCACTGACACAAAAATATCTATGACAAAAAAATATATCATCTTTACGAATATATACACCGTTCAACATGGAAATTGACGACGCGACATGTCGCCGCCTTTCGTCGTATTTTAATTTGGTGATCAACGACGTACGGGAAAATTGACTGCGTTGCTTTGAATCACATACATTTGTCTTCTGAACGTATAAAAATGGAAAAGAGGCGTTTCATTTCCGGCTACATACATGTTCATTACATAGAAAAATACGATACATACATAAATACCTGAAGAGCCATAAATACACATAAATTGGTTTGGAAACGAGTACAATAGATGAAGCATGTCCCTACTGCGCGGCGTTTAAAAATTGTTCTGCTTTACATTGTATGACTTATATAAGTGAAACAGATAATACAGAACGTATGATATGGAAAGAGTTGGCAGTCTATAGAATTGCAATCTAATTACACCAAATGTAGTTTAAGTGCTTCAAATCATTGTACATCGTAATAGAATGGTAGTTTTAAGCAGGTCAGCTCTATTTTAGCGACATGACAGTTGTTTGACAATAATTGGAGAAGTTTGTCAGTAGTTGTCAAAATGACACTTCAGTAAATTTCGTAACAACTAAGTGTGGTGTTGCCTCCATTTAAAAAAAGTATCTTGAATGTACAATAAAGCAAATACGATAAAAAAATAAATGTTACAAAAAGGTTTCTTTTTGTTTTAACATGTGTAGGTAGCCCAGGCTGTTAACATTTCAGAAACACCTCATTTACATTGGATAATGTCCATAACAATGCCACATGCAATAAATACCATTACTATTATACTCGCCTAAGAAAGCCAATAACGGGCAGTATAGCTTTTTCGTTCATTTGTTGTTTATGGTTACGTAAAGCATAAAACACTTTGAATGATATCACAATTGTTTAAGTATTTTATAGACAGCAATTATTTATAAACATCCCATATAATACACCATTGAAGGCTTCAATTTAATTGACATAAAAAAAGATGTATGAAAATAAACACCGAGTAATAATTACTGTTTGTAAACTTAACTTTGATACTATGCAACAAACGGTTTAAAAAAATTAACAATTTTAACATAATTTTGAAAATTGTGTATTAGTTATCCCACAACATTTGTGTACTGATCACATGTAAATAAAAATATGCTTCATTTTAAATAAAGTTTTATCAAAGAATTATGAAATTCCAAATTACAATGTGAAATTCCACTTTTCAATATTGTAATATGTAGAACAAGTATATAGCACTCTTTCTTTTGTAATACCTCACGGAAAATCATATCTAGATGGTGAATTCACTTTAAACAAATGAACCATGATTACAAATAATTACATCTATTACACTTCCTATATTACATGTAATTTGCTAAACAAAAGGGCTAAATAAAATATAGCAATTAAAACCAGGGTACACAAAAGTAATTGTCTACTAGCAATTAGATTTCACTTTACGTGTATATACAAAATAAATTGTGCATCTTGAATAGTCGCTATTTACATTATATCATTACAATGAATAAATGTGACATTAAATTAACATTTTGTAAGTATTAAATATCAATGGCAAAAACGAATAAAAATATAGTAACGTTTTTAAATTTAAGGAATTTACTAAGTACCAAAGTGCTATACAGTACTTACCGAAATACTAGGCTTTTAATGTTGCCTCATTTTATTTAAGCCAATAGAAGTAACACTAAACGGACATAATTTAAAATTATCCATAATATAAAAACAATGGACCTTTGGTATTTGTTAATATTTGAAAGTTCGAGTATTTGTCGATGCGATAAATATGTTTATTTGGGCATGTATGGTAATAAAATTATGGCACTGTATAAGTTTAGGTCTTATTATATTTGAATCTTAAGTTTTTTTTAAATATTTAAATAAATATATCTAGCGTGTGATAAATCACGTGTTATTCAATAAAGCAATCGATAATTTGATTTTAGTTATTTACCGATAATAAAAAATATATTAATTTATATGATAATTTTTTAAGTTTATGTTCAAGTAAATTTTTTAAATAATTCACGTTAGGCTCATAGTTGTCTAAACTAAGAAATGTATACGATAATGAAAATGTTATTAAATGTAAACATCACACATCTCACAAACATTCAACTTATTTATAATATTTTTGCTTACATTTTTCATTTATTTAGGAGTAATTAAAAAAAAGAAAAAACTAAAAATTAATAATACAGACGAAAAACGAAATAATTCTGATAATATAGTTGTAATATCTTAAATTAGAATTATATTCAAATATTATAAAACAAGTATTTTTTCTACTTGGTTGTACTTTATTAAGGGGCTCCTATTGTCCTAGAATTTAGGAAATGATAATTTTTATAATCATATTGAAAGAGAAAAATTGAGCATTTTAATTCCTATGAGTACACTTTGAGACAGCATTTCGTAAAATCTAGGCCAATGGAATCTTATTTTCGATCACGATCATAGCTTTGGCACAAAGTTGAAATAATTGATTTAATGAAACCTTTTTAGTATTGCCATAACATAAATGAGATCGTGAAATGAAGAAAAAAGTATCATGGCGATAAAAAAAGAGTTCACAAAATCATTTTGTTGTTTCAATTTGTGCAAATGTCATTTAAATTATTTCTATTTGCTGTAAACAATTTTTATTTACAGCCTAAAAAATACAACCAATTCTAAATTGGGTAAATTATATACACATCTTATATTGCTTCATACAAACGAAAATTTCTAGAAGTAATTCAGCGATAGAATTTGATTTAACTTCGTCTGTTCATAACCTATATTGTTTTTAATACTTAAAACCCATACAATAAAGAAAATAATTGCACAGTTCCACTAGAAGTAAAACTTGACGCAATTTTTAATAAAATTGTCACCTTTCCTGATCTGATGAAAGATGCCAGTCTCTAGTCAAAATGACCACATTACATGGTAAATAAAAAGAAATAAAACCTACCTTCCCCTCAATTACTTTTAAATCCAGTAATGGAGATTTAATAATACATTGTTCGTTTTATAGCCTACCTACAGCAGTACAATGCTAAGCACATGATTAAAAAAACATTAACAAATTTTATACATTGCAACATAATTTTGACAAAAAAAAATGTACAGAATACTGTATGTATTATTTTGTTAGTTTTAAAATAAAAGTATTTTTTTAACTCTCTCGCAATTATTACTAAGTCCTGTCGTTTCTAATACTTCACAATAGCATTGGGACTTCAAACAAAACAATAAGAAAAAAACAATTCAGTCCACCCCATGATCATTACTGTAAAGATTTCAAAACGCCTTTTAATTTCTACGCGATAAACAAACATTCATTTGCATTTTTATGTATTTTATAGCGTCAATGAACGGGATCGTCATACCACATTTCATTCCTAAATCGCTCATTTGTGGGACGGGCAGCGCTCGACGCATAAGCGTGCGTAACGATAATTACGGACCCTCCGTAAAAGAGACAGTGTTCTTAAATTGAATACCTAAACCCTAAATGGTAGAGCATAAATTGGTATAAATTACCGAATGGGCGGTGCAACAAACGAAACACGCAATCGTAACCCGATACTATGGCTATGTTCTTAAGAGCTCTTTTCCCCCACAAGTTGAAAGGCGGCTGTATTTATCGTTCAGTGACGTTTCAGTGCGTCACGGGTTTTTCGTCGTCACGACGTTGAGTTTAGAGCACACTTTCGCGCTGCGGCCGGTCCTTTCGGAGAGCAAGCGGCAGTGGCACTGATGTTTCGGTGTGCGCCCGCACTGGGTTTTGACTGCTACGCGGCTGGCGTTAGAGCACACTTTCGCGCAACTGCGTCACTGAAGTTTCGGTGAGTGCGCTTGCACGGGGTTTTGGTCGTTACGGAGGTGGGTTTAGAGCACACATGCGCGCCGCGGTGTCGCTGATTTCTGGGTAGATGCGCCCGCACGGGATTTTGATCGTTACGCGGCCAGCGTTAGAGCACACTTTCGCGCCGCGGTGTCACTGATGTTTCGGTTAGTGCGCTGGCACGGGGCTTTGGTCTTTACGGTGGTGGGTTTAGAGCGCACTTTCGCGCCGCGGTGTCGCTGATGTTTCGCTAAATGCGCCCGCACGGGATTTTGATCGTTACGCGGCCGGCATTATAGCACACTTTCGCGCTGCGGCTGGTCCTCGGGGGGGCTGGGCGGGTCGGAGGGCGAGGCGGCGGTGTGCGTGATGGCGGGCGCGCGGCCGATGTGCGCGCCCATCGTGATCGGCGTGTCGTCGGGGTCCTCCTCCTCGCCCTCCTCCAGGTCCTCGTCGATCGGGGTGAGCACGTCCAGCGGCTGCGGCGCCTCCTCCGGTTTCCTGGCGGCAGAGGGCGAGCTCAACACGCGAACGCTTAAGCAAGGTTCCAACGTTCTTTTTTTTATGCGAAAAATTGCGACCGAGCAGACGGTTCACCTGATGTAAGTGAATACCGCCGCCCGTGAACACGAGGGCTACAGATGCGTTGACAACCTTTTGACAATCGGGCTCCGGCCACCTCAGTCACCAGACGAAACGCGAAAGTATTTGTCATACTTCCACTTTACGCCGGTCTTCTGTGAGGTAGTGGTAATTACCCGGACGAGCCTGCCCATTCGTGCATAGGCCGATGCTGCTTGGCCCTACCACAGTATTGTAATTTACAGATAGATTTATGCATTACCGCACCGAACTCCCAAATTAACAGGCCTGACCGATTGTATCGGTCGACAGGATCGATTCCGCAGCTTCACAAGGTATTGGCTTCGTCATCAGGGGTCGTGGGTTCGATTCCCATACGAGACGACTATTTAACTAACTGTAATTACATAACTAAAAAAAAAAACGATTCGTCGCCGTTTCCTCCGGACAGGTCTAGCTTAGTGAACCGGTGGTGATTATTTGACGTTCAATAAGGGCCTAAAATAAGCCCATATTGAACGGAGAAGTTTCGACTTCGGCTTCACAATCACCTGCGGAACATGGGTGCGGCGAAGGAAGTGAGCGTGGAGGCCAAGAAGAAAGCGGCCGCCATGTAGAAGGAGGCGTCGTAGTTCTTGGTGGCGTCGTAGACGGCGCCGGCGAGCGGGGACCCGATTATGGCGGCCGCGCCGCGGAACAGTATGAGCAGCCCGAACGCGTTCGTCAGCTTGTCCAGCCCCAGCAGGTCCACGAGGATGATCGACGTCAGCGATATGTAGCCGGCTGCAATTGCATCGTTTATTATATATATTGCCTCGTATATTCCGTTGCGTTACTGCACACTTAATAATAATAGATTCAAATTATATTAAATGAAATTAGTTAACGGGTTATATAATTTCGTCGCGTTCATTGAACGCTGGAAATGGTTCGAAACGTCGGGAGTTAAAAATCAATATTAAAACGCGATGAAATCCGTAAACTAGTTTCATTTAACAAGTATAGTATTCGCGTAAAATCAAGAAATCAATGGGTCCTAATAATTTCGTAGTTGCTTCCCAATAATTGAACATATTCAAACATTATTTCCATGATCATTACACTATTACATAAAAAAAATTAATATTAATATTGTATATTAGCTACTTTGTTACAAGACTTAGACGATCAACAGTGAATGGAAATTATACGAATTTTTCAAGAATAATTTACGACATGAAACTTGGATTGTCTTAATATTTTAAACATTACCATAGGTTAAAAATTCGTATAAGACACGTTTAAATAATAAAAAAAACAAATTACCCTAGCGTTATATAGATAGGTGCAGTATTACTCACAGATGGCAATTCCGAACGCAATAGCGACTGCCACGTAGGCGCCGTATGTGTAGCAAAAAGGCGTGAGTGCAACTGATATCTGAAAAATATGTTTTTAATTGAGTTAAACGTTTTACTGCGGCAGGATTATTAACTCATTGCATGAAATGCATTAGCATGTGAGCATATTTCGCCATGTGTCCTGGTCACAAATGTTTAACTTCATAAATAGCTTCGAATCGGATTATTTTTATTATTTCTTGTGTATTCGAGTTTAATTTTACCGCCGAGCTAAATAAACTAAGTTCATCTTTTATTATACACGAATTATTTGTCAAAACGAATAAAGCAAATGAACTGTTTTTAAGAAATGTGCAATGGTTTTCAGTTAATACAAACATTACCATTCACATTTTTTATATTTCTGAGCGTAAGTATATTGTGAGTAAATTGCACAGATTTCCATTTTATTGGAAAACGCTTTTGTAATTGTGATCAAAACGATTTCCGGTAAAATACCATTGGATAAGGACGCCGTTGAAACTTATACTTGCTGCTCAGTGTTGGTGTGAATTTTAGATATAGGTTGGTCACTACCAAGGTGTAGGGGATGCAGGGGACGTAACGGTTGCAGGCGATGTAAGGGTTGCACAGGATGTAGAGGATGTAAGTGTGTAGGGTATGGAGGGAATGCAGGGCATGTAAGTGATGTAGAGGATAAAGGGGATAAAAGTGGTGTAGGGTATGGAGGGAATGCAGGGCATGTAAGTGATGTAGGGGATGAAGGGAATGTAAGTGATTTAGGGGATAGAACGACGGTGGGAGTGCGGCGGACGGTGGCGGACGGTGGCGAACGGTGGTGGACGGTGGTGGAGGGTGGTAGACGGTGATGGACGGCGACCGACCGTGGCGATGACGAGGCATATGTTGTTGAGCAGCAGCGAGTCGACGCGAGGCAGGTCGGCCACGGCGCCGCACGCGATCCGTCCGAACGTGTTCGTGATGCCGATGATCGAGAGCAGGAACGAAGCCTGCGACGCCTCCACGCCCTGCAACGTCATCACGCCTGCACTTAGGGCTGCCGCTCTTCGCTAGGGCTGCCACGAATTGTGAGTAAAAGGTAGAGAAACAAATTTTTAGGCAAGGCCAATAAGTATTGACTTAAAATTTGTAGGAAAAGAAAAAGGTTGACGAATTTTTTGCACAGCTGCGGGAATCGAACCCGATTCCCAGACGCTTTAACCACTAAGCCAAATGGCTGACTGTGTTGTATTAATCAGCAGACGCAGTTTCGAGGATACGAACGTAATCTTAGAGTCTAATCCTTTTTCGTAGTAAGTTCAAAGTGAACGCAATACGAAGCGGTACGGGAGTCACGTTGAGGCAGGAAAAGTAATCGAGCACATCCTTTTCGAAGTTGGCTCAAAGTGGACGAAACGCTATAAGCGGCACGGCACTCACGTTGAGGCAGGCCGCGTCGACGATGTACACGAAGGGCACGTAGAGGCCGGCCATGCCGAACACGTTGGACACGCCGATCAGCATGAAGGCGGGGTCGCGGAGGAGGCTCACGTCCAGCATCGACGAGAGCGCCGACTTGAACGACTCCGGCAGCGAGAGGCAAGGGCACAGGTCGTACTCTGGAAGTGGCGTATTCGGTCTTATTTTCTTTATTCAATATATGCTTTTCATCGAGTGAGAACGTGGCGAGGTGGCGGTTCGCCTGATGATATTAAGAGTAACCGCCGCCCGTGGATATATGCAACAAAAACAAAAAAACCGAATCAAAACTAAGGAGGACTTCGTTGGTGACATTTCTCCGAATGGATAACGCATGTATGTGCACATGCGCGGCCCTACTATCACAAAGGGACGTATCAGACGCGTGGGTCACTAGCCCACTAGCTCTATTAGTGTACGGACCGAAAATCAAATGTAGCGAGTCCTTTGCTTATTTTGCGGGAAAAATCCCGGGGAAGTAACCCCAGTCCGAAACGGAACGGGGGTACTCACTGAAACGCCAAAGTTGCACCATTCTCTGTCGCATCGGCCGTGGACACGGGAACACAGCTCTATTAGTGTACGGACCGAAAATCAAAAGTAGTTCTTGCTAGCGAGTCCTTTGTTCTTTTTTTTTTTTGCGGGAAAAATCCCCCGTCCTGTTTTTAAACGGAACGGGGGTACTCACTAAAACGTGAAAGTTGCACCATTCTCTGTCGCATCGGCCGTGGACACGGGAACACGTAGCCCATGAGTCCAGCAACGGTCTACGGACCAAAGAGTAGGCAAGAACACTCACGCTCCCGCCGCTCGGCGTCGCCCGTCTGTCGGCTGAGCGGCAGGCTGAGCACCGAGTTGCGGTAGCCCTGCAGCGACTTCTGGCTCTGGTACTGCGGCAGGTTGAGCACCGAGCCCGAGTAGAAGATGTCCTTGCGCGACATCGGGCGCACCATGCGCGCCGGCTCGCGGCCCGCCGCCACCGACAGCTTCGAGTTGTACACGCCGCCCTCCGCGTCGCCCTGCACCGCACCGCCATAGATAAGACATTTTTATTTATTTATTTAATCTTTATTGCCAACCTTCAGTAAAACAAGGTAACAAAGGTACTGAAACCGCATTCGCACCAGTCAACCCGTGAGAGTTTATGGTAGGTGCAGCCAGTTAAATTTTAATTAAAAAGTGAAAAGACATGTGTACTGAAACCGCGCACAGCCGTGTTCCAGTACAAAAGTGGAATGCTTCGGCCTCAGTTCGAAAATGGAACACTGTGTTTTTTTTTTAAATTTTTTAAGTGGCATGCTATCCGTCCCGACGCCGGCTTGAGTTCGAAAATAGAATGTTTAGACTTCAGTTCGAACATGGAACGTTGTTTTTTCATTTTTGATGTGTAATAGTCTCCGTCCCAGAGCTGACTTCAGTTTCGAAAATTGAATGTTTCGTTTTTCCATTTTGAAGTAGAATAGTGTACGAATACTGGTGACTACAGGTAAAATGGGAATGTTTTTCAATTTTCGATGTGGAAACTTCTTTAGGCGCGTTGCTAGTGAGCGTATACTAATATTAATTTACGATGGTAATATGAATAAATAGCTTAATATACCAATATTAATTTTACTATCCCGGAACTTATCTATTACATGGCAAATTTCATTGATCTTGCAACTGTAGGCCTGTCTAAATAAATTAAAGGAATAAATCTTATTTCCTACATTTTATTTAAAAAAAAAATAGTACAATCACGCTGTCAGCGTCGCCTGTGCTATCCTGAAGTATGAAGCGTTTCAAATTCGAATTGTGTGGAAAAAGGCTGCATAAATCCCAATACGGTTGGCATTCTTGTACGGCAGTCTGCTCTTAAAAAGCTACACATATTTACAAATACGATGCAAATAACAGAAAGCTCATTACATTGAACACATGAATGTGTTGACATTGATTTAAACAAGCTCTAGTTTAATTTGAGAAAGATTCGCATTGTATGAACAATATTTCGAAATAAATTCTTGGAATATAAACCACAATGATCTTTTATCATAAACGGTCAATAACTAGTTGCGAAACCTGATAATAAGAAATTAACGATGTTACATACGTCGTATGCACTTCTGTGCTGGCTGGCCATCGAAGTCTTGGACGTGGCTTTAATAGCTGCTAAGGACGGTTTGAATCTGCAATGAGTAAACGTGTAAATTAAAATAAATGATACGATTCCATGTAAAAATAATGAATAGCCAAAAAAGGAGATTTGAAATTAGAAATTTAGCAAATCCAAATTGAATTAGGAATTTTCCATAAACTAACATTTATTATAACATTCTAACATTAAGAACATTTTGTGGGCTTTAAATAAACTATTTTTATATTACTTCAACTTTATAATTAACATTACCGTAACCTTGCTACCGCCACATATCGGTCCTTCGAGCCGGATTTGAACCAGCGGAACCTTTCGGGCACTCACCTATCGCCGGTGCTCTGCTTTCGCTGCCGGTCGAAGAAGGGCACGGAGCCGTTCTTGGGCAGCCCCGGCGCCTGGGCGCTGAACGCGGGCGAGGACACGTTCCGCGACATCTGCTGCCCGCCAGCGCCGTTCTCCTTCTATACGTCGATGGGAACGCAAACGGAATAGTGGCGTTCAAATGTAAAAAAAAGTATAGTAACAATCTAAACATAGTGACAATAAATCTAATTTAAGTTAGTTTTATTTTTGCACCTGCCTAAAGATCTCACCGCACCATAGGTTGACTGGCAGAGAATGCCTAAAGGCATTCGCATTAAGTCCGCCTATTGTGTTCCGTATTAAAGGAAATGCAATAAAGACTTAATAAATAAATAAATAACAGTCTACACATAATCCACTGCTGGGCAGTGGCATCCTCTGTGCGAGTACAGGGGGTATTAGGGCATAGACCACCGTCGCGGCCCCACTTTATTCTTTTATAAAGTTAGACGCGTCCGCAAACCCTCTGGTGTTGTAAATGTATGGGCGGCGATAATCATTTCACATCGGGTGATCGAAAAACACTGGTGTACTTTTCTCAATCTTACATTAAAGACTGTTGGATAATTTTTAACCATCATAAAGACCTTTTTCCTTCGCGATTTTAGGAAGGTTTAAGGAACAAAACTGTTTGACAAAAAAATTGGTGAGAAATGGAAAAAAAGAATGCCGATAGCATACCTGCACCTTCTTCTTTTCTGCGTTCTCGACCTCGACCACTCTCGCCTCGGTTATGGTGGGCAGCGTGGGCACAGTGGGCACCCCGGGCATGTTGGGCACAGTGGGCACCCGCGCCAGCGCCTCTAGGTTCAGAGACGAGTGCACGCCGGGGTCGATGTTCAATGGCGCCTGAAAAATGAGCGGCGAACTATTGTGGTAGGGCCACGAAACAATCGTTTCTGTTGCACGGGCAGGCCCGTCCGAGTCACAGAAGAACAGCGTGACGTGGAAGTGCTATTCTTCTGCGCTTCGTCTGGTGAGGGAGGTAGTCGGGGCGCAGGCATGGACTTAGTGATGGGGCTTGTTGCCATGAAGACGAAAAAATAGGTTTTTTTTTGGATTTTATGGCCCGATATCCAACACCTTTAGGCCAGAATAGGTCAGCTAATTAAGAAACTACATCACTTTATCCAATAAATAAAAGCAAGGGCGAATTCAATGAAAACCGACAAAAACAATTGTAAAACGACATTTGAAATTGTTTGTATACTGTAAAGAATTTAACAATAGCGCGCTAAGCATTTCAGACAATACGTGAATAATGTGTGGCGATCAGCCGTTTAGCTTAGTGGTTAAAGCGTCTCGGCGCAGAGCCGGAAGACGTGGGTCCTTTTAAAACTTTTCATCCTTTCTTCTACAAACTTTCGTGTTTCATGTTAAGTGCAAAGATTATCAATATAAAAGTTAATATTTTATAAAAGCATACCTTTAATCTCTTCTCCATGGTGCCATCAGGTAATTGTACCACGAAGTATGAGCCTCCGATCGAGCCTCTCTCCATCTGCAGTCTTTTCTCTTCCGCCATTCGTTGCAACAGGGGCTTTTCGCCCGATGTCTGAAGTTACATAATTTATTAGTTTATTTAAATTTTACCCAAATTATGTTAATAGGTAGACTTAAGGTGTTCACTACCAGTCAACCTATTAGATGGTGCAGAGATAAAATAAGGTTGTACAAGTAAAGAAAAAAAGAATAATTATAAAACTGAGTCCAAACTGTCCACACGATGCATATGGTCCACATGGTACACATGGTACACGTCAAAACTGAGTGTATTAATTAGTTTGAAGCATTATTTATGTTGGCAAGCGAGCAGACACCTGATATTAAGAGATTACTGCCATCCACGGGCATATCTATAATACCTTAGGGGTGGCAGTTGCATTGCCAACCTTTAAAAAAATAGGCTCTGGCTACGTCACTCATCAGAAGGACCGCGAAGTATTCCGCTGGTCTTTTGTGAGGCTGTGGAACTTCCCCGAACGAGACTCTCAATTTATGCAACAGCAGAATCTGCAGGGCCCTACCACAGCCCAAAGTTTATTGAATTATTAGTAAAAAATATCGACTATCCGACAGATGTAATAAAGAAACAGGGCTTTAATATGATAGTACAGGAATATTTACTACACCGACAAAAGTATACAGTTTAGATTTTGAATTTGCAGTTGTTCATGCATACATTATCTGTTAACCTCGATCTATCTAATAAATAGTATAAATAAAAAATACATCATGAAAATAACATTTACTTTTGGATACACTAAAGGGCGCATGAGGGCGCCAAACACCGCACAGTTCAATATCAGCCCAGCGAGCAGCAGGTTAGCGTTTTGCCACGAGCCGAACTCCCTGAGCAAGATGGCCGCCAGCGGCGCGAAGCTGAACGTGCCGACGCCGGAGCCGCACACGGCAATGCCAGTTGCCAGAGAGCGACGGGTCTCGAAGTAATAGCCAACCGCTACCACCGACGGTAGATAGATCATCCCGAAACCTATCCCTGGAACCGTGAAGATCGAGTGACATTAGAGTAAGTGAAGTAACAGCCTATAATATGTCGCAGTGTTGGGCAAAGGCCTCTTCTGTGCAGAGCATATTTATATATATTAAGGCATAGTCCACCAATGCGGACTGGCGGACTTCACGAAAGTTCGAAATATTTTTATTTTGTTATTATCTCAAAAATAGGCTGGTCCCACTACTGGGCAAAGGCCTATTCCGCATAGAGAGATTAAGGCATAGTTTACCACACGACCCCACCGCGGATTGGCGGACTTCACTATTTTCACTACTTCAATATTTTTTATTTTGCTATTACCTCGAAAATATAAAGGTTTCCTCACGATGTTTGCCTTCACCGCTGAGCACATGATGAATCAGCATTAAAAACATTGGGATTTGAACTCAGGTTGCTTGAGTGTATTGGATTATAATTGAGCGCCCGGACACTGAGCTATCACGGCTGTGTGATAAATATCTCACTGCTGGGCAAAACACTCCTCTCATAACATTTCAATGTGAGAACAACTATTATGCCAAATTAAAATACTATCTAAAAACATTTAAGTTTTTTAGGTACACGCTACATCTATAATTTTCTATAAATTTTGTACATATAAATGTGAACATTGCACATTAATATTTTGTTTCAAAAACGCACAAAGGCGGTGAATGCACTGGAAGTTAAGAATAGAAGGGAAAAAAAACGCAACATCATCCCGTTGTTCAAATGCTGAAAATGCATTGTGTGGCTTTTAAAAAAGCTAAATGCTCGAAGGTTATAAACAGTAGGCAAAAAAGTGATAAAAGGCAAAATTGGTCGTATATGATCTAAGGCATAAAAATAATTTACTTAATCAAGCTTAATGTATCCCACATTAGACTATCCTTTTTTCATGTGAAAANATTGCCAAGCCAGCAGACGGTTCACCTGATGTTAAGTGAATATCGCCGCCAATGGACATCTGCTACACCCGAGCGTTCCAGATGCGTTGGCAACCTTTTGAAAATTGGGCTCCGGCTACCTCACTCACCAGACGAAACGCGAAAGTATTATACTTCCACTTTAGGCCGGTTTTCTGTGAGGTCGTGGTACTTACCCGGACGAGCCTGCCCATTCGTGCAACAGCCGAGGCTGCTGCTAACCGAATTATCCCGCCTTAATACGGACTTCGTAAACTTGTTGACTCAAGTCCACTTAAGGATCAAATCCATAATTTACTAAACATGACGATACCAAGATGAAAAGATACTCCAGTAGGGTATCCAGGTATGCGGATGCGCGAATATGCTTTTACGTTTCTATTAAAATATTTATAATCTACGGACGCAATGTCCGTAACCCTTATTTGTTGTAAGTATGATCTACTTAATGCTATACGTGTATGGCAAAATTATAAATTTAGAAACAAAATTGTACGTATTAATATCCATATAATACTTCATAAACGGATTCTATACAATGTGTTGTGTTGAATCCACGAAAATACGAAAAATCATTTCTTGTTGCAGTGTTTGTATGGATAATAGGCAATCTTCTCAATGATTTTTACAACTGGGTTATTATGGTACGAGAAAAAACTCCACACAAGTTAGTAAAGTGAACAAATCTAACTTTGAGTTATTTGTGAGCTTTTCGACTTTTATGGAATAACGAAAACTGTGACGAGCTGACGGCAGCATCTAAGACGCGAACTTTCAAATTAGCATTTCGTCGAGTTTATGATTACTTATAGCGCTTGACGTGTGAGTTCAAATCTCAACGAGAAAATAACGAGGGGTTCATACAACCTTTTTTATCGTAATAAAAGCATTCGTTATGAGAATTAAGAAAAGCACACAAATTACAGTAATTTTTTGTATTCTTTTCAGTATTTTATGAGGGATGTGGTGGAATTGTTTTCATTACACATTGGTGTAGCCGAATGCAATCTGCGAAATATACTTTATATTTGGTGCAAATCCTTGCGCTAATTAATGTCTATTAGAAGGGAATGCAATTGGGAAGCCTTGATGCGGTTCATGCATAAACGACCATACAATTTCCTGGAAGTTTTAATAACAATTTTATTGTAATCCATTGATTTAGAAAATTTTCTTCTATAATGATTGTTTGATGCCAAAATAAAGTAAAAAAAAATAAATGAAATAAAAATCTACTCGGTTTAGGCCATTTGTCAAATTCTTTATTTCGGTTAACGTAAAGTACACAGTCTCTTAAGAGAATGGCTTTAATTAATGTTTCCTACCAGTCAACAACTGTCGTGACCTACGGTGTCGAAACGTGGATGGCGGGACTAGTCAGCGAGCTTAAAGTTTATAATCACCTCCGTTTCTTTTTTTTTTTTGTGAGAAAGTGGCAAACCAGCTGGCGGTTCACCTGATGTTAAGTGATAACCGCCTGCCCATGGATATTTGCAACACCCGTAGGGTCGCTGACGCGTTGCCACCTCTTAACATTGTGGGACCCGGCTACCTCACTCACCAGACGAAATGCAGAAGTACAACACTTCTCGTTCTAGTTTACGCCGGTCTTCTGTGAGGTTGTGGTACTAACCCGGACGGACCTGCCCATTCGTGCAAAAGCGAACACTGTTGCGTGGCCCCACCACCCGCTGAGTTTCTTACGCCGGTTCTTCTCAGGTCAGTGGCTTTCCTTCCGAACCGGTGGTAGAGTTTTTTGACTATCAATAAGTAAGTGAATGCTTCTATATTGAATAAAGATATTTGACTTTGACTTTGACACCGTGAAAACGGGAAACGGGTCTTCGCGGGAGTCAACCAAGACAGGCCCATGATTATGACTCTTATGAATGGAGCACACACTTATTAGTTAGTAAGTAGTGCGTCGAAGTGTTTTAGTATGGTAGGGCTACGCCGCAGCTTCCACTGTTGCAGAAAGGAAAGGCCGGTCCGGCTAAGTACATCGGCTTGACTAAACATGATGGTAATCGATGCCCACTCTTTGCGAAGACGGCAAGATGGTGAGGATATCCTTGAGCAGCAGGACTCTCTGAAGTCTCACTCACATAAAAACGCTCCTTTTATACCATTATAAATGACTCTAAAAAGTAATAAACAACTTTTTTAAAATCAGAAATGACTAATGACTAACCACAACCACTGGAGGGGCACTTTTACTTTTTATATCATTCCTTGTGAAGAAACTTGGTGACGCTTCTCAAGTGGCGCTTATTGTGACCTGATTTTTTCACAACTCAATCAATTCACGCTCTTTAGTTAAGAATGTTGCGGTAAATGTTTGTTTAACACTCTTATAAAAGTATTTTTAAGATAATGCTTAATACGCCTCAAAGTTGTGTTAAAAATATTTTAAAAAAATCGTATATTTAAAAAGTCTATTTTAAAATTAAACATTTTCCTTTAATTGTTAAATAAAACTAATTTAAGGATATTCTTTGCGTTTAAATATTATAGCTTTTATACCCAGCAAACAGTTACAATGGTCTCAACGTTTATGAGAGAGGGAGAGACTTAAACGTTGGAAAAATCAACTTTTTAAACATAAGCTAAAATTCATTAAGTATTCCCATTCACCGCTTATAAGTCAAGATTTTTATAAATAGTCAACGCTTTTAATGAAAAATACTAAATAAAATACTTCACTACATAGTACAAAACAAAGTCGTCCCGCTGTCTGTCTGTCCGTATGCTTAGATATTTAAAACTAAGCAACGGATCTTGATGCGGTGTTTTTTACTAGATAGAGTGATTCAAGAGGAAGGTTTATATGTATAATACACTGCAGCCGTGCGAAGCCGGGGCGGATCGCTAGTCAGTTATAATCCCAAAATATAAAGTACCTAGGTACTATTTATGGCATGCGTGTTCAAAGCATTGAAAGAATCATACATTGGGATGCGAGCTCTAATAACTAAATAAATACTACATATACTCCAACATAGTTTAATTAAATTTGAATCTCCGTAGAAAGTTCTTCTCCCATTGATATTATAAACAAATGCCAGGTAGATATGACACTATATCTACCTGGTATTTGTTATATATATGACGCCAAAAACTAAAGCACTCAAATTCCCGCAATTGTTGTAATTGATTAGTCTGCTATCTCTCTTATCGTACATACATTCTATATGATCAGTCACATTCACATATATTTCTCATATAATGATGAAAAGCGGAACAAATTCTGAAACCGCGCAGTATGACACGCGTAATTTGTATTAAATCATCGTTGTCTTCTCCCATATCTTAATATATTAAATACGAAATACGATTATTCTTCATAGATGTACGCGGATGCTTCTGTCGACATTTTTTCAAGTTTAATAACAATTCGTGAAATCTAAATAGACGTGTCGTGATTCAGCGTACAAAGCGGGCAGTTTTGACAGAACGTACTTTGACGTGTCGGTTTCTTTAGTATGAAATCTAAAGATTACCACGCAGTTGCCAAATGCGAGATCATAATGATTTAAAGTCACGACCCTGCTGAGAATTGGACTTTAATTGAATTCATGGCATTGATTTTATTCGGATCTATTTGGACAATACCGTATAGAACAACTAGCGACCCGCCCCGGCTTCGCACGGGTGCAATGTTTTATACATATAAACCTTCCTCTTAAATCGCTCTATCAAGTAAAAAAAAAACGCATCAAGATCTGTTGCGTAGTTTTAAAGATCTAAGCATAAATAGGGACAAACAGACAGCGGGACGACTTTGTTTTATACTATATGTAGTGATAAAATATTAATCATGTTATATAAATTATGTAATGAAATATATATTTTTTATTCGTCATCCTATATCCTTAATTAATACTTACTTATTAAAACCACATAGTTTACTGCGTTTGAGCTATTGTAATGTAGGGCTCAAGTGCTTTCCACAAAGTAAGACATGTGTCGTGTAGTTTAGATGATTCGTCAAACACTTTCGAAATTACAAGTCAGTGTCAATAATTGGCGCGAAACGTACTAACGGTACGCAACATTTTATATCAGAAACTGCAATAA